GAGTGCTAATAATGTTCAATGAATTGTTATAGTATAGAAGAACCTTTGAAGCGATAAAAAAGAAACAAAACAAAATTGGTATAAACTATGATAGAAGACGGTGACAAGAACGAAGAACGCGACAACAACAACAACAATAAATGGAAATGACATCGTAAGTACTGCATGGCTATAGCTATATACAGATACAGATATAGACATGTAGATATAGATACATACTTACGAGTATGGGCTTTAGGAGTTAACTGGCCAAGCGCAACGAACTTGAAGCTAACGCGCCCCAAGATTATCTGAGGCGGGCAAAACCATAAACAAATAAGGAATAAAATTCAATCCAACTGACAACTGCCTGCAACATAGTCTGTGTGTGTGTGTCTGTGTATCTGTGTATCTGAGTTGACAGCTGCGGTTCATTGACATTGAATGGGTTGACAGTTGGGGTTGTTGTATAGCTCGGGTTGGGGTTTCTGTTTTGTTTTGCTTTTGTTTTTGCTGTTGAGCAACTGCGTTTTTAATTGTGCATGCAATGAAAGCGGCACTCAAAATGCACTTGTTAGTTGCACACAGACACACAGTGGCAATCATCATGCAGCAACATAATAAGAGACTATGACTAGTCACAGGACGAGCTGAGATGAGGCTACTTTCTGTTGCAGTTGCTGCAGAGTGCTGCATGCTCGCGCGTAATTTCTACGAATTCAAAAGCCAAAGACAATGCAACGGCATGCGGCATGCGGCAAGAGGGGGCGCACACGGTACTACGCGGAACCTTGAGGGTTGCATGACCTATATCACAGCTTAGAGACATAGGCCAGGCCAGACCAGGCAGCACGACTCCGAAGACGCTGACAACGACTACTTTCCCAGGGCAGCTCCCGGCCTATGACAAATGTTTCACATCAGTGCGTTTCGACTGCAACAATTACCTGCCTTGTTCGTTGTTGTTGTTGGAGTTGTTGCTGCATTTGTTGCTGTTGCTGCTGCTGTTGCTGTTATTATGATTATTGTTATTCTTTAGATCCCTCCCGGCGTCACAGCTCAGTTGGTCGTCCGCTGCGTCTTGCTGCGCCTCCGAGCAGTGCCTTGTTTGCTGACTTTGCCGGGGTCAGGGAACAAGTGCTTCCAGTTAACATGGCCTGGCAGGATGTCGAGAGACGTTTGGGGTAATCGGTCTCTCTGACTTTATGGCGCACAGTCCACCACAGGAGTTATTGCGATGCTGGCTGTGTCAAGTGTACCTAAATCTACTTTTTTCCGATACCTACCCTTCTCCCTCCTTCTCTTTTTTTCCGGCCTAAATCGATGCTGCAGCTGATTACTCAATTAGGGTGTGAGAAATGCACTTTTGTTGCATGTAATTATGCGGAAATTGTGAAAAGATTTTCACATGTGCAAAACAACTCGATTGACGACTCAATTCCGCATCCGTTCGAAAAAAAAAACACAAATTACATATGCTAAGTGAAAAGGAATTCCCGCTGAGCTCAAAAGTGATGTGCAGCTGTGCAACTGTAATGGAACCCAAAGTAGCATGTAACAAGGCTCGCGAAGTAATAAAAATGTAACAAAAATATGACGAAATAAAATCAATAAACTTATTTATCTCGAGCCGAACATGTTTCAGGTTATATAACTCAAAAACATAGTATTAAATATTAAATAATACGATAACCCCCAGATGTATTACATACTTTTGATTTATTTTATATTTTTACATTTTGAATTTAATTACAATTTTAGCACTTTATCATAAATAAATTAATTAATAAAAAAAACTATTTAGATTATTCCTTATTGCATTACAAACTTTAACTGATTGGGTTTCTCAATTATTACAATAAATGCTGGACCATTTAACATTTTAATTCCGCCAGAATAAATTAAATCTTTAATTTAATTCAATTTGTTCACTTTTTTTTTTTTTTTTTTAAATTGTGTAACATATTTAGTGCAATATAATAAATAAATTGCCAATCCAGAAACATTTTTTCATTTTCTTAGGGGCGCAACAAATAATGAAAGTTTTCATAATTTTCCTATGTTATTAAAGCAATCGTCAAGTTAATTGTTAGATACAATGTAGATTGTGATCAATGCCTTGTATATTATTATTTGCATACCAGCAGCTGTTTTAAATGCAATTAAAGCCTCTTAATAAATCGTTGCCGTCGATTAAAAAAAAAGATTAATTACCCGTTTGCAATGAATAATATACGTAACTGTTTTACATTTATTACGGCAGCATTCTTGCGATAACTACAAAAGTAGCTTTTAAGTGGAGTACTAATTTAGAGCAGAGTGAAACACATACACCGAGACACATACATATAGCCAAGCACACACATATATATACATATTACATATAAGGTCAACACACAATCAGTGCAGCTGAGAGCGTTGAGCTTTGGGCCTAGAAATGAAATACGTTGCTCAAGATCAAATTTAAGCCGATTTATGAATGTCAGAAGCGCTTGACAAGCCCCCAGCCAATAGCTGAATGACCAGCTCAAATGGAAAACAAAAAATATCTAAAAAAAAAAATGTAAAAAAAAACAAAACAAAAAAGCGAAACAACAACAACGAAAATAAAATTAATAAACTATGTTAAGTTTTGGATCGTTTGGTGCATTATGCAAAGCAGCGCATCGACTTGGAATTGGACTCGGACTTGGACCCCATAGCCAGTGAAAAATTAAGCGGCTTTATCAGTGCCATCACCCGCATGCGAAGCCACAAGAAGCCAGACCCAAAGCCAAAGACAGAGCCAAAGGCAGCGGATTCGGTGTCGAGCTGGCCGTGGACTCATTAATTTTTGTGGGGCTCAGCACAGTAGTCGGCATTGAATACAAAGCCAGAATGCAGAATGCCTAAATGGCTCATTAGGGTCTTAAATTAAAGCTACTTGGGGGCTACCAACAAGCCAGCAAACGCAACTCGGTCAACCAGGCCCCAAAGGGTCAGCGAGAAGCCAAAAGAAAGCAGCAGCAGAAGCGGCTGCAAAGACACGTCTCGCCACAGACCAACTACCGGGCAGGGAAGCGGCAACTTGGCAACCGGGTTCACCTAATTAGATGGCAATTGTCTTACTGTGTGTGACAGTTGGGCAGAAATTATTGCAATAGGTCTAGGGAACTACGTATAAGCGACGGCTACCTGGCCAGGTCTCTATTTATTCGGTTACCCGCAACTGTCGCAAATTCCACAATTAAAGAAATTGAAAAAAATCGTCATCAACTGTGACAGAAGATGCAACCCAACCAACAAAATTTGCTAATCTGTCCCTCTTAATAGATGATCTGAGTCCAGGCAAAAGAGTCTCATCATCATCATCAACATCCTCATCATCATCCTCATTCTTATCCTCATCCCCGTCTCTTGTGCTGATTCATTTCGCTCGTTGCGAAGAGAGATTAGCCGATCATGATAAGAATGTTCTTTTGTGCAGTCGATGAGCTCATCAAGCGAACAACCCTTTATAAATTGCATTGGAATTTATCATAGACGAACCTCGTTGAAAAGCAATTTCATTACTTGCAGTGTGCTTCTCTCTATCTATGTCTATGGCCTAAAAGAATCTGATCTTATCCGGCTTTGTTTTGAGTGCCTGCGTTGCCTGCATAACTATGTATGTGATTTCTTATCGCAATCTTAATGAAAAATGGCAACTGAGAGAGTCGTCTAATGGGCCAATGATCACTGTTGATTTATGGACAGCATTTGTAGTGGAAATTCCAATTTATGAGAATACCTCAACTTAAAACTAGACAAAGAAGATGAAAAAACTATGTAAATGTTTATTACTTTCTTACACTTTGTTTTCCGTACTCTTTTCTACTATTTGCTATAATGTTAAATTTTTATGTATTCGCTGAAATACCGCATTTTGATTAAGTCGGCTCCTAAATAAAAAGAAATTACAAATTTACCACAGCTTAAATATATATACACAGTGCGATTATTTACTATTATCTTTAAATGCAACTTTCTCGTATTCACTTAACTCATCTTCATACAATTACAATCAAATCCAACCAATCCCAATCTGAGCAACTCCTGCAACTCGGTGTGCTGTACCAATTTCAGTCTCCTACCTGACGCCAACATCAAATTCATCTTCCACCAGGTGAATGCATAATAAGTAAAGATTCCGCTGTGCGCCCACAAATTGCTCTCGAGTCCCGAAATAAGATATCTGCACGTAGCTGTAATTTAAAACCCCACCAAAAAATGTAAAAAAAAAACTAAAAAAAAAAAGCAGCAACAAAACGAGAAATGGTCTCATGCCCCGTAAAAGCAACACACACCTACAAACACACACACACGCATACAACACACACACACATAGCATTATCCTACACAGCAATAATTTCTTTTCTCAGGCAGGCGGGCGAACAATACAAATGTAGAGATATGTCATTTGCCAGGCAAAGCGAAATCGAAGAACACAGCTAAACACAACCAAACAGAACAGAACCGAACAGAACAGAACAGAAATGAAGATCGATGCTCCATAACAGTTCGACTGGGACAAGAACTGGAACTGCGACTGGAACTGGGCAGGCAGTCAGGCAGTTTGGCTGGCAGTCAGGCAGGCAACATGTGCGCCGCTTTGTAACGCCAATTATGGGCCCATAATTTGAAGGCATTGTTGTCTGGCGCACAAAAGACGAACTGAGAGCGAGCATTACACGAAACCCGAAGAAAACGAAGAAGAAGAAGATCATTTCCCAATCTCACACACATACACACAGTCTCTGGTCTTAGCGATGCGTAACGAAGCGGCAAATGAGCAAAAGCCGCTTGCTGGCTGAACACATTGAGCACAATTGAGCGCATCTTTAGCCAGGTAGCGCGCTCTCTCTCTCACTCTCTCGATCCGTTGCGCTCTCGGGCTCTCTACACTCCTCTCTTGAGTGGAGTTGACAACGCGCTTGACGATCGAGCCGAGTTGCCATCGGCTGTTTTACGTGCTGAGCGCTAATCAGTTTGTTTGCAGACGTCGTCAGCGCTGAACGTGTGTGCAGCGCTGAGAGCACAGAAATTCAGCAGAACACAGCTACAGATACGAAAACAGATAGGGAAAAAGAGATACAGTTACGGATAAAGTGAAAGTGAGCCGCACAACAAAAGATACGCGATACCGTGTAGCGTGTAATATTCGTAATTGAATCCGAGAACGACAAATACATAAAAAGCAATGGACGACTTGCCACGCGCATTAAACTACGAGCTGTCGCACGATTTGCATTTCGATCATTTCGGCGGCGCCGCACAACAGATTTTGGATAACGGCAAGAACGTTGCCGTACAAGCCGCCGAAGCCTCAACGCCAACCATCAGCACACTGGATGTGCTGACCAATAGTGATTTCCTGCAAAAGATTGGGGAAACCATCTTCAACTCGATACAGCTAAAGCATCAGAAAATAAACGAAGCCAACTACGCACGGAATTCCAGCGAAATGTCCATGGACTTCGATTTCGCAGCCAATCGTGTGGTGCTGGACAGCAGCAGTGTGGACCAACTGCAGCAGCAGCTGGAGTACGACAAGTTCATGAACGAGGTGTGGATTGGCATTGTCTTCACGCTAATCTTGATCTCGATGGTCTTCTGCATCTGCTCCTGCTTCCTCTACCACCAGTTTCGCACCTGGAAACGCAATTGTAAGTAAAAACATATCAGTATTTCAAAGATAGCTTTTGTCAAACCTCGATTAGTTCTTATCAGAGCAGTTAGTTATTTTTCGGCATTTAATTGCGCATATTTGTGATTAGTGTTTCGAATGAGGTCTACCTGATAAATTGCTGAGCAATACTAACTAAAGTGACCCACCCGCCACCCATATCTTTTGAATGAATCACAGATGTGTCTTAAGATTGTGAAACAATCAGAATGAGAATTATCATTATTATCATTATTCATTTTACACCAGTAATTCAATTGGGATTAATTCCAAATAATTGTTAGATCTGAGCCAGCTAACTCTAGTCTGAATGTTAATTTAATTAGACTTGGTGATTTATTTCAATAAGAGTATTATGTTGCATCCACAGTTAGACTGCTCTTCAAGACCTTACGTGTTGTTCTACTTTTTTTTAAACTGCTTTGACCTTCAAAAGAATTAGCACAAAACCATTGCCTTGGTTTCTTCTTGCTTTCACAATTTTCTTTAATTGCTGTTTTTTTGCAACGCAAGCAACAAGTGAATAAACTTTATGAGAAAAAAAAATCACACATGAAAACAAATCACTGAAATGCTTAAGCAGCTCGAAAGAAGTATTACAAAATAAAAGCAAACACTAATCAACAAATTTTCTTTTCTTATTCTCTTGTGCAGATCATAATAATGCCAACAGCTCATCGCAGTGCACAATTATTGATGTTGAGGCATTGAAATTGCAGCCCGACTTGGAAGATCCGGTTCCGGAATACACACTGGTCTCCGGCCTGCCCAGCTATGAGGCTGCCTTGGAGTTGTTGCACAAAACGCCGCAATCGTCGTGCTTGATTGTCTATCCGAGCGTGTTTAATGTGTTCAATAAGCATGAGAGACCCAACACAGCAACAGCAACAGCAACAACAGCAGCAGCAACAACGGCGACAACATCCACAGCCATAACAGACGTTGTGGAATCCGCGACAGCAACGCTGCCACAGACGTTGTCGTTGTGTGAGGCATCAACTCCACTGTTGCCAACAATAGCAACAACAATAGCCACAACAGCAGCAGCAGCAATATCCACACCCACATGCGAAACCATTAAGCCCAATTTTGTGCCCAGTTATGCTGAGGTATTTGGCTTTAAGACCGTCGACGAGAAGAAGAAATCTTTGAGCTGCCAAAGCCAACACCAAAACCAGACAAAAGGCCATAGCGATAAATGGTAAGAAATGGCTATCCAGGGAGCGAGATCTGAAATCAGCTCTCAGTTTGAGCTCTCGGACGACACCAACCAAAATGTGCTCTGTGATAATTGCTGCTGTTGGGCTGCCCAGTTTCCCTAACAAAATGATACTTTTGTACTTAGAATCAACTAAGCGCTGTGATTATAGAAAAAGAAAAGAAAGAAAAAACATATAGACACCTCGTAAGAAATGATATATACCATTACCTGTACTTATGAATACTTAAACGCTCGATATAAATTCGATTCGATTAATGCTTAATTGTTGTTAGCTTCTAAGTAGACACCAATTTAATGAATTAAAAACAAAAAACAAACAAACAAATATTATACTAAACACTTTTAAGTCTGATTAAATACATTTGAAAACTTTAACCTGATGATGTAAGTGGCTGATTTGCATTCGCATTTATATTATATGACTATCGATTAGAGATTTTCACATAGTTGCAACTGATGTGATTGACACCAATAAGTATTTGTGGCATGAGTCTAATCGCAGTCTGCATTGGATGCCATGAAAGGCTTTCCCAGCGTTTCTTTTGTAGAGCTTTATAAATTGAGTAGCTGTGTCCAACTAGATTGAGATACTTGTAGTAGACAGTTAGACAGACAGATGAAGACAGTTTGACTTTGACATTGAGCAGAAGTACGTGCCACGTGAGTAGCTGCATATAAAAATATTGTGGAATTGTGCTAGACACTATTGTAAACTAAGCTTGCAGTGGCATTTTTTCTACTCATTTGTATCACTAAATCCCCTGAGCTGAGTCCAGCTATGTAAATCTGTTTAGTTGTGATCTGTTAAACTTAAACTGCACATAAATAATGATGTTGAAATATAATACTCGTAAATACAAAAAGGCAGTTAAACGCTGCAAAACGTCCAGCAAAGAAAAATAAAATGTGTTTTTATGTTATAAAGCGACTAGATTTATATCTAAATAAATTCGCTAACCAGTTTGACTTAGTTTCTAAGATAAATTAAAATATTGAGTTGGCAACAGTTCGACAGCGACAGACTCCATATCTATTTCAACCGTGAGCAAAATGAAAATATACCTTTTAATACATTTGCTCTAGCTACACTCAGAAAAAATTTAACTACATTTTAGAAATTCTCCATTTTTTTTTTTTTTGCGCAAATGGTAAGTTGCCTTATTCTGCAGTAAGTATATTTCTAAAATGGACGATTGTATCAAAAGCTGCTGATAGATATAGAGGTATATGTATATGTATATCTATAGTCTTTGTTCTAAAGAACAAGGTGCTTTTTATTTGCTCATATTATTATTAATTGTTAGTGATTTTTAATTTCACACATACAAACATTTTGATAGTTTATAAATTCATTTAATATGATTTTAAAATACAAATGATTTCAGGCAAGTTTGAACCCAAAATCCTTCGTTGAAGAAGGATCACAGATGAGAGACCAACTTTCATTACGATTTGCAAAATTTCAGAAAAGCTTTCTTCTAGAGGTATAATAAGGCTTAACATTTCTACTTTTTATAATTCTAATGATTAAGACATATGTTTTTGAAAAACAGAAACAAAACCCCTTTGAAATTTAAAAAAATGTTTTTTTCGTATATTTCGAAATTATTTCTAAGATCAAGAACATTTGCCAGTTTCTGAGTGTAGCAGATAGTTACTAAGATTATCTCTATCAAGAATGTCATTGCCATTGAGAGCGTTAGTATGCAAAGTTTATTCGATTGCAAAGCGCATTCGATTGCCGTTTGCATTTATTGCATTTGTCTGTTTATTTGTTTTTTCACTATCGCATTTTTAGTTGGGCAATTGCGATTTGTAAGCTTATCTGTGCAATCCACTTTGCGATTATTGTTTGTGACAATAACAAATTATCTGCAGAATAGCGAAACATTTATATAAAAACGTTGTCAACTAAACTTATGGGGCAGGTCAGGTGAGCGCAAAGCCAATTACTTTGCACAACTATAAAGTGGATAATAAAAATTATTTCACTCAACATTAATCATTCAATTGGAGGGGGATCCACTTGATATGCATGTGCGAAAAGGTGCCAACTGCAATTTGCATATGGTTGCACATTTTGCAGTCGTGCAAATAATATATTTTAATTGTAATTGCAATTTATGACAGTCGCTACTTTATTTGACACTTTATGATATTTTCAATGCATTCTAAGTGGGCCCCCTGAGTTGGGATTGAAGTGAAGCAATGACTCACCACAAAGTCCGACTTGCGTTAGCTTTCTGTTTTCACAGAACACTTTGCTGACCAAAAAATAAATAAACAAAAGTAAAGAAAACTAGCATTCACATTGTGTGCAAATTATTTGATTACCCGAGACATCGAAATCAAGCAACGCAAAACACATTCCAAAAATGTTGCGCATGCGCGTGCCAAATCAAAGCGTGCCCAGACTGAGTTCCTATTATAAACTCTATATACACATATGAACATATGTATAATAAATCCACTCACGTAGCCTCAATTTGCGTTCCAAAATTGATTGTGTTTTCCGTTCGCAAACAAATACGAACAGCGGTATTCTCTATTATTTTTATATGTTAATAATATTCTCGGCTAGAACAAAAAATCTTTATACTAATTCAACATAAGTTATCATGTTCTGAATAAATTTTCTTATTTTATCTATGCTGTGTGCTTATGGAGTCTACTACCAGGAAGTGAAAAAAAGATTGGCAGTGCGACGTATTTTGTGCTAAATAATTTTTTAGCAAAATTATTGAATATTTTGATGTGATTGAATTATGAATCCTTGGGTATTCACATAGCTAAAATTATAATTTTATTTAATAAACATCAATTTAATTAATATATAAAAATTAATACAATATTTATTAATCTTTGTTTATGACTTATCTGATAAGATATTGCGACATGAACATAATAATAATAATAAGTGTATAGTTATAGCAAGTAATAAAGCAGATATTGTCTTAAATCTGAACAAATGACAAATGACATTTTTAATTTTACTCCAGCTCTACAATTTTATATGTTACATAACTAATTTGTTAAACTTATTTAAAGTTCATGTGGATCGACCAAAACATGACATCTTTTCAGGCGTTTATTGTTAATACTATTATAAAATAAATTAACTGTCATAAAAAGTTGAATTTGCACGAAATTAAGCGATTGTTATTATTAGAATTTAATTAATGTTATTTATTTTTTATAATTTATTATAATTTAATGCTGAAAGCAAAAAAGAAATAAAATACGAGTAGTTTTGATATTTGTTTTTATAATGAATGCAAATTTGTGAACAGGGTATAAGGGTTTATTGTTTGTTACAAGCTGAAGGAATCATCTCCGATCTCCGACCGACAAAGATATTCTTACTCTTCAGTACATGTGCCTGCCATAAGAAATGAGAGCAATCCCACTCAAAATACTTAAAGGGGAAGTTCTAAAATATATTTAACAGCTGGGTATTTCGTAGTCGAGCTCAGTCAACTACAGCATTCTTATTTGTTTTATTTATTTGGTTTTTTTGCAGAAAAGTAGTTTTACCTGTCCTAATTTTTAATTAATTGTTTTATTATACAGTTCGCTGATTAGCTGTTTTATTTAATTCCAGCAGTAATTTTGCCACTCCCACGTCAACGGAGGTTTTGAAAGAATGTAAGAAGTGTTGAGTATAGTGGAATCCGGCTATTATAGTCTTATTTTGATATTTTTGAAATACTTTAATATTGGAAATAGCAGTCAGCAAGTAACTAACAAGTTGAATTTCTTTGATATCAAATGCTTTCAAATTTCCATTTTTTTTTTATGAATAAACATTTTTTTTCTAAGAATAAATAATAATAAGCTCAAAAGACGAACAGTTAACGAACTGCATTCACATTCACTGATTGTAGACTGATTGCTTTTAAATGTTTTGCAATGACTGAACTTATAATTTCAGTATATTAATAACTGCGAAAATGATATATACCAACCCTTATGAAAGTCGCAAATTCCTTCGATATTTCTAGCCGTTTGCTCAATAACAATCAATAAGCGCACATGTTAAGTGCGTACTTAAGATTGTTGCTAATGAGTTTTTGTTTATACAAACTAATTGCTCAACTAATGGATTTGTAGCGTAATAGTTGATGTAAGAGCTACCAGGTATATTAAGGTTATAGCTTTAAATATTAATACCTAAGTCACGCTTTGAGGCTGACTGTGAAATCTACTCGTATCGAAATATCATCTGAAGAGTTCTCATTTGCATTTGATATGGCACGCCTCGAAGTTTGTTGCAAGAGCAACAAAACATGTGTTGTTCGGACAGCATATCAAAATATTATACAACATAAACAACATAATTAGCTTACAATTCAAATAAAATGAACAAATTCAAATACAAATGCAGAGGCAGCTTCAGTTGATGAGCAGGCGAATGAAAGAAAGCGCAACCAAAGGGCAAACAATTTATTAAAAAGCCATACACGAAATGCAGATGGAGAGAAAGTTGCCCTGTGGAGTATCTGTTGGCCAGCCTAATGAAACGAACAATTTATTAATAAAATGCACATTAACCCACGGCTTAGAGCAAACACTAAACTTGGCTTAAGCCCGTCCTACGGCAGCGGCATTTAGTTGAATGAATTTTCAATTAAGCGCCAAATTCGTTGAACGCAGCACGGGAATCAAAGCTGCAGACGCCACGCCGCCGACTTTTGAAAGTGAAAACCGGTCGAGCGACGTATTCGAATCTGAATCCGAATTGGACGACGTCATACGCAACATTTGACCCACTTTTTTATAGGTGGTGCAAAAAAAAAGAAGAGAAATATACAAAAAAAATTGGCAAGCCAGTTTTTCAAACTGTTCACATTATTTGCCAAAAGCGAGCTCATAAATAAACATTCTACAAACATAGTTTTATAGCATATTTGCAAATTTATATATAAATTTAAAAAAAATTAAAAAATAATATATATATATATGTGCAAATACTACCATTAATATACATCGTTTAGTGTATAATTAAATGGGGAAACTCGCTCAAAAATTGCGCAAGATATATAAATTTTAAATTCGAGCAAAGTCCAGAGAATTAAATAACTAGAAGCTGAAATTAAATTGGCTGTTTAAAGAAAAACTAAAAGTAATAAAAAGTACTTATAACACAAGTCATAAATATTAAAAAATTAAAAAATAATCGACAAAAAATTGTGCACACATTTTTTTATACAAGGCTTAATGTATTCAACCAGAAAGTATTTTGAGAAATTACACATTTTAGTAGATATTTATATGTGCCTACCTAGGTATCATTTAACTAAACTCTTTAAACAATTTTATTTGCATTCACATTTAATGTGACACTCTCCCCAAATGTTTTTATATCGCACCGGGAT